TATATATATATAGCGTTCGGGTATGTGTCTCTCAAATTACATAATTATTAAAGTCATAATTACACACTGTTTCAGCATATCTGTGATGTTTGAATGGTTTTAAAAATGAATCCTGGAAATGAAAATGTTAATCTGCAGACAGCCTACACTCCTCAGAGCAGTCAAAAAAATGTGAAGATCCTTAAACAGAAGCAGCAGGAAACAGAGAGATCCACACTGCTCGAACCACAGGAAGTGATGATGGAGGGACTGCGGGGCTTCTGGGAGCATCGTCCTCTCCTGATCGTGCGATCTCAGATTCTGAACAAACTTGGATTGAGTCTCTGCCACTCACACAGCAACAGAAAGCCAGGCCACCTTGTCCCGCTACATCATCACATGGTCCATACCATCCTGACAGGAATCAGAGAGATGTACACACACAGCCAACTTTGCACGTGTGTTGCTCACTATAGTTGTTGATGTAGCAATGGAACACATTTGGAAGATCTTTTAGCGCAGGGCCCCAACAAGCTGGCTCATCAAACACTTCCTCCCAACGAGAGCAAGGTTCCTTAAATATTACTGGAACTGAAGAAGAACCAACAACCACTCCATACTCTCACCAGGTTCTGCATCACCTGCTGCTATACAGCCATCGATGCCTAAAATTTATTTCAGGGAGGATGAAATCATATCATGCAATCCCAATAAAAGGGACCTGAGTCTGCTGGGGTATTAGCTCCAGCTCCTCCTGCTGAATCTGTGATTATTCGTTCAGCACACACAACAGAGCATCAGACCACATTCTTACCTGTCATAAGAAATTAGCAAAACATATCCAAACAACAATGCAAACATATGACCAACATTTACACATCTTATCATATCACTTTTATTCAATAGCCTACTGAGAAACAGCCTATTCATCTATGTCCTCTGTAATGGACATCTGTTTTGACTTACTTAAGCTACCCTACTAAGTCCCGATGTACTAAATAGAGGACATCCTGGGCTTACCATTGATATCTCATCTGTCTGGGTGGCCTCTTTTAGCTCCAAAGAGGAAGGAAATCACAGACAAAGTTCAATGGGAAGATTCTTTTTTTCCACGGTTCTCAGGAGGATATGAACCAAAATGAGGATATGGTTTACAAGAGTCAAGACAACTTGCTTCAGCAGGTAACAAAGGCAGCGATGAGGAGTCAACCTGTAGCCTCTGTTTCTACCTGTTCATGTTCCTGAAGTAGAATCACTGTGGAGATTACTTTGAAGTCTATTTGGGCTGATTTCCACTTTGCAGTTTTTGCAAAGCTATACGTGGAAGGAAACTATGACCTAGATCAAGCTGATGGCATAAGATGTAACTACAACTCCTCCGGTTTCATATGCAAAAAAAATTATTGCGCTAGCTTACGTGGTTGCAGTTCTACCAGGATTTAAAAATAGTTATGCAAAACGGAGCGTGCCCGCTCCGACCGGCTTTAAAGGGTTAATACAACTTGTACCTGAAAGAGTCTCTTGGTTATCCTGTAGGTCAGGAATGTCACACTCATTTTACATCGTGGGACACTTTAATCTTTAAGTGGGCTGGATTACTGAAACTTCCCATTCTGTCAATGTAAAGACGTTTAACTACACAGTCTCAATATCCTCCTGAGAACCAGCTCAAAAGATGACATCCTGGCCTTTCCAATGATATCTCATGTGTTTGGGTGGCCTCTTTTAGCTCCAAATAGGCAGGACATCACAAAAAAAAGTTAAACCGAAAGATCCTTGTTTCCTTTCCTTGGTTCTCAGGAAACAAAAAGAAGTGCAATTTAAACTGTGTGCCTCAGTTTTTCTACATATTAAACAAATTGTGCTGCAGCAAACAAGTTTTTCGTGTATAAATTCTAAGAAATAATAGCCAATTCCTGAATAAGTCAAAGTCAGAAATTCCGAGTTCCCAGTTGGAAGTTTTTTGTTGAACTCCCACTCAACTCGGACTTCTTGCTCAGGAGTTGGATCAGCTCCAGATACTTTGATCTATCAAAGCATTATAACATAAGTATTATCCTGTATTGCTAGTGATACTTGAATCGCTCTACTTTGCTAAGAACCAGAAGAAATCTGTTTTTGTTTTTTTTCTGTCTGATGTATCTGGAACACAGTGTAAATGTTTTCAATTACATAGAAACGTTTGGTAGCTCATTGCCCATGTTTTTGTTAATAATGTCCCACAGTGGAAAAAAACTAATTTCTAAAAAACATCTATCACTTTATTGTTTATCTATTACTTAATAACACTGATGTAGTAGGAATGCGGTATGGGGAAGCTCTTTATCAGTTGGCAAAGCTTTAAATGCAAATACAGTTAAAAGTCCAAAAACTATGCCCTCATTCACATTGTCCAAACTTGTCCAATGGGCCTTCATTGCTAGGCCGACTCTGGGACCCGGGCCTTATGTTTGACACCCCTGCTGAAGAATATTGAGAACTGAGAAAGCGGAACATTGTGTGCCACACGGATATAACAACGAGTTACCGAGACAAACAAAACAAAACCACACAAGTAAGGCACAAACATAAACTGCAGTTACTGTGCAGCTAATATATTTTTCTCTTGCTTAAACAAACCAATTATGTGCCCTCCGCCAACGAGCTCGCACCCACAGTCGCGAGTCATATCTCTGCACTAAACAAACCCAGACAGTAGTTTATCTATTACATAAGCCTCTGAAAGTGGACTTACACCTATAGCCACAGCCAGCGGCTTTAGCATGTTACCAACTGCTGCGCTGCACTGCACTGCAAGACGCATACGACATTGAAACTCTTGTAAACCATTTTAGTCTCACGTCCCGGGAGTTTACCTACTGCAAAAGACATATACTGGGTAGACATCTTGGCTCAGCCCAGACCGTGCCCGTTCAGCCTTACCCTCGCGTGGCGGGAGCCACAATGACGCCAGTTGCACCACTACGTAGGCGGCGTGCACCGCGATCCCTCAGGTGCGCATGTCAGCGAAGGGGTTCCCTAGCGGTAACGCAGTGAAAAAGCGAGCCAACAACACTATTTCCGGTTTGAAAATTGCTTTCAGAATAAAGGTTTTTAAGAAACATTTTCAAAATGTTTTAAGCCACTGAATATTTGAGTATTACTGATCTCAGAAAAGGAAAGAAGTAAATTATACAATCAGCTGTCATTTTTGAATAGTTCAGGCTCTGTCCGGAAATGGACGATAAATCCTGCTAGTCTATAATCCAAAAATATAATGATTGTGTGGGGACAGAAAATACACAGCTGCTCCCAGCTTTTGAAGTCTTGAGCTTGGTAAACCAGCCAGGTTGCTTTTGTTGATGCAAAATAGTTGTACCTGTGTGAAAAGACTTATAATTTGCGATGTTAACAGATATTGGATTACTGTTTAAATACTCCTGCTCTCAAAGGCGGCCCTCCACAACATTTTATAAAATTGTTTAGGTTTTTTCTTAATTCAGGATAAAATGAAATCTCCTGTCCTGAGCTTGGGATATTGAATCTCACTGCAGCTGGGCAGTTCTCTAGGACTGTGTAGCGGCCAGTTTTTCTTTTCTTAATCTTTCTTAGCGAAATAAACTGGAAATAAATACTGTTTAAGCTGGGAAAATTCTTCAAAGGTTGAGAAAAGTTCTAATGAATTCTCTTAAACATTTTTTTCCACCGATGTCTTTTTTAACCTAATAAAATAAAGCATTAAAAAAACATATTTGTTTTGACTGTTCAACTGCAAGTGTGCTCATTCTTGAATCTATGCCTTGAACAGCTGCGGCAAGCTTTACATGGATGGTTCTTGTTGCAGTGGATGTTGTCCGACACATCCAAACACAACTTTCTTGTACTACTGGCAACACACCTGCCTGAGCGAGGTAGACCGGGAATGAATTATTGTTGAGAAAACCAAAGAAAACACTGGCACACACACACACACACACACGCACAGACCTGTCTTCCCGTTTTTTTAGAGAGGTTTACGGAAGTGCCAAGTATTCCATGGTCCAACTTTTCAGATGTGTCATCTTTTTACTGTTAATATCACAGCAAATTGTTGTATGGAAGTATAGTAATCATGTTTGCAGCCCAAATAATTCTATGCATGAATAAAGTAAAGGTTTACTTCCAGCCTAGGAAAAGGATGCTTCTTTGAGGACATTGCACAGAAAAGCCTGTCAGAATATTAATTTAAAGGCGTCTCCTATGAGACTGTAAACATGTAACAGTCAAAAAGCGGATTTACTTTTGTGTTATATGAGGATGGAGGAGAGCAAGGTAGTTGTGTCACCTTTAGACGGTCGTGGTTTAATTGTGAAAAACGGAATTCGGAAGTGTTGCCGTCTTTGCTGCTAGCAGAACACAGGCCGCAGTGATTTGGTAGCCGCTGCAGTAGGAGGAAGGACCGCGGTTCTACCGCTTCTATCTTTCAGTTTCGCCTCAAAATTCGCTTGGTGGTTCTTTCTGGTAGCAACCAGTTAATTATATGTACAGTAACGATCTTATATGACAGCTAAATCGTAGTATTACTAACGGACAGTGATATCAATCGCCATTTTAATCGCACGTTTTCCCTGTCAGAAGCGCTAGCACAACAATGGCTCTGAAAAGAATTCACAAGGTAAGGAAGTGAACGGCGAGGCCCAGGATTTCGCAGTTTGGTTATAGATTTAATTCCAAGGTTGTCTAGCGGATGCTTGTCTGGCAGATTAGTTGTACTGACAATAATTTGAAAAACGGATCTATTTATTCAAGTTAGGTTTGAGCTGGCAGCTAACGGTCTGTGAGTCTGAATAGCGAGCGGCGACACTGAGAGCAGCAATGCGCCGCCTTTCAGTGCTGCTACAAATGGGCCAACTCCACCATTGGCTGTGTTAGCTGTTCTTGGTTGTGTCACATAGCTTCACAATCTGTTTCGGTTCATTAAGAATGTATTCGATACCGCGTATAAAAAGATGTTTAGCTTGCCATGGTTGTCACTAGTTAATGGTATTAGTGGTGTGTTAGCTGCTGCTGGCTAACATTATCTCTCCCGGTTGTTGGCTAGTTTGGATGAGCTAAAGGGTTCTGTCAGGCTAGCTGACTACATTTCTATCTTTATAGTAAACTAGCGGCAGTTTTCACGATATGCTATCAGATATGTCTTCATTAGTCGATATAAACGGCAGCCTACGTAGCTAACATTATTTAACACGGCGGCTTACGTTTACTTAACCCGCTATTTGATTTGACAGATAACTGAAGTTATCCGGCTAGCGGTAACGCTAACGTTAGCTCAGGAGTCCAGAGCTTATTTAATTAAAGGACGGACGGCTTCTTTGTCGCTAGCCATTTAAATATTCGATCATTTGCTGTTGTTAGAGGAACAGTAAAAGTTCAAACATAATGATCGCCATATCGGAAGCGAGCATGTACCTCCTCCCCGTTTTTTTTCGTTAACTGTATATTGTCATCTTAATTCATAACCTGCAGGTTTTCGCAGTAGTCATGTCAAAGCAGCCATGTTATTGTTTGTATTGAACATGCTTATGGCTCAGCGGGAGAAGCGGTACATAAGGAAATTCTTGTTAATGTTAGCAGCGAGTCGGTGTTGTAAAAACAGGCCCCACGCGTTGTTCGCCTTTGATGGCATGTTGCTGATAGCAGGCGAGCCCTATAATCGTTATTGTGTCGCTCGTCTGATTGAGTTAGCTCCGCGTTGTTTGGTCCTGTTGCAATTAATTCCCCACGTAGCATAAAGGCATGTCATAATTTGGCCAGGCAGCTCGCTTCATGTTTCTCTTACATGACATCCTGTGCTGCTGTCGAGCCGGAGAGGTTAGCGTTTACGCTAAGCTAACGTTACCAGCATACCGTTTACTGCGAGCTAACCAGTTTACACGGCTGTGTGGGCTATAGTAAAAGCTTTGTTGTCAAATTACCGTGATCTCGGTTTGGGTGTACGTGTGTTAGCCGCTCTACCTGGAGAAAGGCTGTTACGTAATAGCGGTCAGTGCCATAAGCAAAGGCTCGGGGTGCTATAGTAGTGTTGTTGTGTCACCGGGAAATGCTTTGAGAGTTACTGTAGCAGGGAGCCTTTATGGCTGTGGCACCGGCCTCAGGAGCTGTCTGAAAACAAGACAGAGCTCCTGGTGAGCAGAGGAAGTAGTAAGTAGAACAGCCTCTATAAGATTATTGAAGCTCTTTTTTTTGTGCCCACCCCAAACACATGCTTAAACAGAGGAAATTCTTGTGTGGTTATTTTTATGTTGCATTTCCTTTTTCTCTCTGTTCTTTAGATTGGGGTTGCGCGGATTGTTTAATTAATAGCCCGATATTGGTGTTTGTAAAACAACCTGGCTAAAGCTGATATTTCTGCTTGCTCCTTTTTTGTTTGTTTTTTGTTTTTTATCATTTCTTCTTTCAGTTTATTCGGAGGATTGTTGAAGGGTACTTTAAAAATGTGTGTATTAGAAAGATATATTCTTAATGATTAAGTTGAATTTCAGAGACAAGTCAAAATACACTGATAATCGTGTTTTAGAAATGAGGACATTTTCTCTGTTAATATATAGACTGCTTTGCTTGGACCTCACACAGAAAAGAAGAAGAAGAAAACAGCAAAGTACTCAAGTGCTCTGTTCTATACATTGTAGCTAAGAGCTTGAGATGCAGTTTGGCAGGTTCACCTTAAACCTTCCACACTTTCCTAACACCCTTTGATGAACTCAGGGAGTTGACTTCAATCTTTAACATTTTAAATTTCTTTTCAAAATGGAAAATATTAAAATCAATTACTTTATATTATTCTTATTTTTTTCTTCGTTTGGCCCTACTTAATTACAAAGAACTAAATGTCATTCACCTCTTAAACACACTGTCTGGACTGTTATCTGGCACGATACTGATGTGACACAAAAGATAAACAGGACACTTTCATCAGTGAATGCTATCCTGTATGCAGATACTGGTGTTTTTAGCCCTCTTATCGGTTCTTAGTTTTTATGGTCTATTTAATACTTCGCTGTATGGCCGGACCCAAACAACTCACATCTCTTTGGTTTGTCTCAGGAGTTGAACGACTTGGCACGGGACCCACCAGCCCAGTGTTCTGCAGGACCAGTAGGAGATGACAGTAAGTCAACATTTAAACCCACAGTGTCACGTTAGCTGTGTGTAAGCAGGATTCAAAACCCTTTCCCGCTTTTTATTTGAACTTATTCATAATCTTATGTGACCAAATCATTTTCAATCATCAAATTATACTCGCACATGACTTAGGAATCAATGACAGATCCATGAAGACCAACATCTATAAAATAGAGTAAATTAGTGTTTGTTTCTGCTTGAGGGTTATTCTTAGAGCTCACATCCAGGAAATACCTGCAGCTCCTATTGTGAAGATTTCTGGGTAATTATAAAAGCATAACCCACTGTATTGCTTCATGTAGGTTTTACTTTTACTTTCACAGCAAGAGTATTTTTTCTTTTGTAATGTTGGGAGTAAATCAGAGTTCAGATTTCTTTTTTAATCTCATAGACTGAGCCAATAATGAAACGCAGAAGGCATTAACTGAACTGAACTGTAGTATGTTTGTCAATGTTTCCTTGTAACCAGTACTTTAAATGTTGTATGTAAAACTCCCAAGGTGCTCCTATTATTGCAGGTTAATTAAACAAAATTTGGTCCTAATGCTAAAATTTGTGTGCAGAGTAAAAAAAAGAAAAAGTACAGAATATTGAAAGAATTTGATGATATGGGGATTTTTTTTTGTACTGAAGGAAAATGTTTAGTGAGCAGTTTAACACTTTCTCTTTGATGCATTTCTGGTTTGATCAATAACCCCGTCACTCAGTCCTAAACCACAGTGTCCACAATCTTGTGACCTGAGGTTTAAGTGTCAGTAAATCCAGACACTTGGAGCCTCTTTTTTTTTTTATTTAATAAATGCCTGCAAAATTTTGGAGTTTACACTTTGGCCCGATCTCATCAACTTGGTCTTGACCCTGCTGTAACGTCAAAATCCAAACTGTAGTTTTTAATGACCAGTGTCCAGTTTAGTTAGTTGCTTTTAAGAAATATTTTGATACATTAAGATCTTGTATTGTGGTAGATCTGACGCTGTCCCGTGCTATATACACAAACGGATACATTCAGTTAATCGCTCTGATGATGTGCCTTGATATTTAAGTCCATTTAACGATTGATCTTATTCTGTCTTGGTAATACAGCAGTGTTTTTACATATAGCTGTAATCCTTTATAATCATGTCTTTTATGAATGATAGTGTGGGAGTAATAGTAGCCCTAGATGGGTATGTTTAGAACAAGTAGCATGAATAAACACAGACAGATTGTATTTAGGATGTTTAAAAAAATAGACAGAGTGACTATATTAAGTGTATGCACACTGATTTAAATATGAACTCATGGACTTGCAAATTACGTGCTGCCCCAGTCATTGCACAGAGGTTGACGCAAACTTAGCCAGGGGTAGTAATGCGGCGGCTGCCTGCCCGACACATCCTGAGTGCAACACCTGGGTTCAACAAGAGACCGACACCCACGCTGTTATCTCATGTTTGAGGTTTGTGACGTCTGCATACATAACCAGAATCGTCACAGGGTGTACAGTGCAGCTGTGCTCTCATATATTGTGTTGTTTTTAGGAAAAATCTACATGCTTTATTGTTTCTTTAGTCTGTTTTCATGTCTTCAGACTGATTTTTGCATATTGATATCTGTTCCTAAATTATTTATTGAAACTATTCTTTAAAACAACAAAACTTATGTGCAAGATTCCTCGAAGATTATTAAATGAAATATGAATATGTTGTGTTGAAACTCAGACTAACCCATGAATGTGTTAATATCCTTTGTGTGCGTGTGTGAGGGGGGGGGGGATGTTGCATTTAGGTGCCAGTGTTCCAGTCAAAACAAACACATTTGATTTTTATCTTAGGACCTCACGCGCAGGACACCTCCGTATGTGTCCGTATGCTGTCAAGATCACAACAACCGTCTGAGGAGTTTTTCCTTTGTGTCATTAAAATGTCAGACTTTAAAACAATCGTAGCGTGGATCCCGTAAGCACTGCGTCCTGGGATTTTGGTGTGCAGTCTGTGTTTGTGCACAATAGCGTCTAACTTTTGTACTTGTGCGGGAAAAAATTGGTAGCAGAACTTTTTATTTGTTTGCTGTACACATTGCTTCCTGCCATCAACATCAAAAAAACCAAGACGGTGTCTCTTGTGAAATGCAGTTATTGTGGCTTTCTTCACAAATGTGACATTTCTCCTCAGACAGGATGCTTGAATTGGACAGGTTTAAAAGATCACAGTCAGATTACAGTGGTTTGTTTTGGTGGTTATCCAAGCTCTTTAAAAAAATCACTTCTTGTTTATTAATTTCCTCTGAAGCAGCAGGTTAGTGTTATTCATGTGCTGCAAGTGTATATGTAATCATTTCTAATTAAGAAAAGACTGTCCTCAGCTGCACTTTATTTAAAGCCTGTTACTCAACTGTATAAATAAACAGGCATTATTTATTCTAACACTTCCCAGACACACATCATGTCCTCAGAGTTTCATAACAAATTTCTCCTTTTTTGTTTCAGTGTTTCACTGGCAAGCCACAATAATGGGACCCGTAAGTACTCACACAGTCACAACTTTAACCGTTGCTTTAGGTTTATGGGAAATTCACGTACATGAGCACGACTCTGAATTGTTCTCACTATAAGTTTTCCACCTGCCTGTTTCCTTTTATACCATAATTGTAATGAAGCCCATTGGGCTTCTCTCTCCTTCAGAATGACAGTCCTTACCAGAGCGGGGTTTTCTTCTTGACCATACACTTCCCCACAGACTACCCCTTCAAACCGCCAAAGGTGAGAACCAGAGCATGCAAAGAAGTAGCTTTTCATACACAGAGGGCGCCTAAGTTCCTCTTGCCCGTTAAAGCGTGCCACAGCTTTACGTCATTCAGCTTTCTGCCGTCTCCCCCTCTTTCTTGGCTCCCCCCATTCATCTGTTTTCAGGTTGCATTTACCACAAGAATCTACCACCCAAATATCAACAGCAACGGCAGCATCTGTCTTGACATCCTGCGATCACAGTGGTCTCCAGCTCTCACCATCTCCAAAGGTAAGGAGATGTTTCTGGCTGCAGAGTAAAAGAGAAACGCCCCGTTTTCTTTTTCTTTTTCTCTGTCATGAAAGCGCTACCTCTAAATGCATTCCTGCGGCAGAGGTCCTTGATTTAAACTGGAGCAGCACTATCTCAGTGAATGTCAGAGATGGTCCTTGAGCTAATACAGTGGTTTACACAAATAGCGTCCCTCATGCACTGTGAGTGTTTTTGTAGACCAATTATGTTTATGATCAGAAGTGGAATAGATGGGACATGCTAGCATGTGAGGGTCATCCAAAGGAAAATGTATCCAAACTCTGAAAATGTCAGTTTTTATTTGTGAGAACTCTTAACCTTTTGTGTGGTCTGTTCCAGTTCTCCTGTCCATCTGCTCTCTGCTGTGCGACCCAAACCCGGACGACCCATTAGTACCCGAGATCGCCCGCATCTACAAGACTGACAGGGAAAAGTGAGTTTGCTTTCATGTGCCTTTTCAGATTGTTGCTAGTAACACTGTTGCTAACAGTGTGTGACATAACAGAAAAAATTGAAACTGTCACCACGAGTCTTAAAAATAGGCGCACAGTTAACAGTGAGGTTCGGATGTGTCACTCACTCCCCACATTTGGTTTCGAAACACCCAGACAGCAACAGCAAACCCAACTCGGGGCTTCATAATGGGCAAATATCCCCTGTGGCCATGTCCAACTTTTATATACAGGCTATGGTCAAGAAGGCATTCATTCACCCTCACACATGACTAATCAAAAATGGCATGTCTAATGTTAGAGCGTGTGAAACTTGAGCTTTTTGCAAACATTTGGGCACAGACAATGCCACCTTTCTGGAGTTGTCACCCTGTTGAGACGATCAGAATTTGCTACCTGTGAAATTAACGATTGATCGATAAGGCCGGAGAGCCAGAATCGGCTCAACAAAGACTCCCAATTTGGCCCACTGGCTCTGGAAAGTAAAAAATATTGCATATATTTTGGACTTTAAACTGTATTTTCATAACTTGGAACTTTTATAAAGACCCAAAGAGCTCCCCATGGTCATTTGTGCTACATCAAAGTAATTAAGTAGTAGATAAATGACTAAATGGCAGAAAAGGTCCTTTTTTTAAAAATATCTACTATAAAAAATAATAAAATCTTACAGTACAGGTCCACAGTAAATAAAAATAAAAAATTACATTTTATGTGAATGAACAAATTAAGTCACAACTCTTTCAGTAACTTTACACATTTATTTCTTATTCTTTCACACCAGAGAGTCGTGCTGACAGGTGTGTTTTATATACAGCACGTTTCTCTTATCGTGTAGAAAAATGGACACGTTCCATTGAAAATTCCTTTGTCTTATATTAAAGTATTTGAGGGATTTCATATGAAGCATCTTTATCGTGACAGAAAGGAGAATGGCACTCATCTGAGCCTACGATGTAAAATGAGGATGATGTGTCTGCTCTGTGCCATTCGCTCATGAACTTTCTGCCCTCCTCTTTGGCTTCTTCCCAGCTTGATGCACTCTGACAAAAACCTAATTGCTGTGCAGGTTTAGTGACAGGCAGTGGATGGCCAATTAAATTGTTGAAAGTGCAAGCAAGTTTTGAACAGTCGTGGTGACGTCGCAACAGAAAAGTGATGCGGCCACACTCGTTGCGATTCAGACTTCGGGGAGCGTCTGCTCTAATTCAGCCGCCCCGTTTCAGACACGTTGATGGGACCAGTCAGAGTAAAGGCAGTGGTGCAGATTGACTACAAGTGTTCAACATGTTGATCCTTCACTAAGTTAAAACTGACCACTCTCTCCTCTTTCTCTTTTTTTTTCTTTCTTGTTCACAGGTACAACAAAATAGCTCGGGAATGGACACAAAAGTATGCAATGTAGTGTTGGGGGTAGAAACATGGCCAACCACCTCTACGACGTAAAGGCTAGGGGAGCTTCAGACGTAAAGAGAAAACAAACAAAAAAACCATACAAACAAATGAAAAGTTTAAACAAGATCTTGTTGGTTTCCATTGGAGTGCTTTCTTTGAGCCACGCCTCCCCTTCACCAGAGTACCTGTAAAACTCCCTCTGCCCCACCTTCTCTCTCTCTCCCTCTATTTGCTCTATCTTTACCCCTTCCCTCCCTCTGCCCCTCAGCTCACCCACCCCTCCTCTAGTGTACATATTGTCAACTTGCAACGGTAAAGCCCATCTCTCCTTTTTCACCACCTACCAACTCCTCCTCCATCTCCTGACTTCTGTATTCCATTTGTCACCAAGCAGGTTGGGCTGTCACCGATCCTCCACCCTCCCCTGTTTATTCCCTGCACGCCCGCATTCTCACCCACCATCACTAAAAGCATTCCTTTAAGCACCAGTCAAGCTTTGAGGGGACCTTTTTTTTCCCCATTATCTTCCAGTTTAATTTTATTTTTGAGGGGGAGGGGACAGTAAGATGGAGGGATTTTTACACTCTGCACCCTTTCTTGTTTTTGTTGTCCTAATGATTTCCATCTGTAGGGGTGACATTTCAAGGAAGTAGTCAAAGGGCACTCTGTGTTTTATACAAGGCTATGTAACATGGAAAAAAATTACACGCAGCCTATTTTTGGTCTTCTGTTGGATTCTATGAAAGGACTTGAATTTATCCCCACACCTCCTGCTCCTCATTCCTCCCTCCCCCAATCTTCCCTCACCCAAGTTGACCCCTTTGTACACACGCACACATGCTCACACAACTGTAACCCCCATGTCACCCTCACCACCACCGTTTCTTTATTCACAAAAAGTGGAGGTTCTGGACCAGGTATTTAAGCAATTCATTTTTTTTTCTTAGTTTAACCTGTGTTTTTATTTCCCACCCCATAATTCTTTAGGTTGCTTTTATCTTTCTTTTTTTGTTTGTTTTTTTTTGCTATTGTTAAATTAGAGGCTAACATCTTAAATGGCTATGGGACTGGCTTGGGCTCTGGGTGCGAGGAGAACCCACTCTTCTTGCACAAAACCTCTGTATATTGAATTACCTGAGAGGCTCGTTGAGCTTTGTGTGTTGATTAAACTGTGTAATAAAAACCCTCGACTCCTGTGTTGACTCATACTCAGCCTCTTTTTGAAAAAGGCATACAGAGGCAGGTTGGCAACATCTGAATGCAGTTAAGAGGAAGTTCTGCAGAAATCTAACAAGATAAATAAGATGAGCAATTACCTCATTCTTTTATGGTTACCTCTCTTCCACAGAATTCTTTGAATACTGGGGAGCATAACAAAAATACAAGACTTGAAAGCTTTTGAAATTACATAATTCTTGGGCGCTTGTGGAGTCCAGTCAAGCCTTTAGAAAAGGTCATTTGTCGCCCTCTGGTGGTATGTAAAGTAGTTAAAAGTTGGGAGACCTTCCAGCTCTGTCACAGCTAAATTAAAAGCTTTGACTGGTAAAACTTCATAATTTATATATTTAAGCATTGTAAATTTATAAATGGGGTTTGTTTTAAGTGAAAGTTATGATGTTCAACCCCCCCTCCTTTTTTCTTTTTTTTTTTAAGCCAGTGACCTGTAAAGGAAATGGGACTCACCAAAGCTCGCAGTGGTCAAGATAATTATCCGCCGTTAGGAACATTTGCCAGGCAGTGGAATTTTATTTTTTGGCTATGGACCCGATAGTGAAGAGTTTTAACAAATACACTTAAAATAAAACGTAATATTTATTTATTTTATTTCTGGAACGTTTTACTCATCACGGCAATTCCAACTTCAAAGAGGGCTAAAGCGAAGCCGGAAATGGTATGGGGGTTACACTCTTACCCTTGTCGAGCTTCGTTCTTCCTCGGTTTTGATTGGTTGGTGGGCAATGACGCAGCAGGTTTGGTACGCTGTCAGAGTGGATCGAGTTTTGATAAGCTCTGTGGTTGACCTTGCTGCTGAGCGCTGATCACATACAGTACACCGTCCGAGGAGAAAAAAAAACTCCCAACATGTCAGCCACACATTTACCTGCAATGCCAATGCCTCCGATACCCGACTTACCCAGCTCGGGTTTCAGGTTAACTAAAGGTAAAGTATTAAAGCTGGCTAATAGCATGCTAGCCTTGTATGAGTGTTTTGTTAGCCGTTAGCGGGTCTGCGACAGTGTTGTAGAAAAAACTGTAGGATACTGCGTGGTTGTATTGAGGCTACCGCGTGTAATAGTAACGTAAAGACTCAAATATTTTTATATAGACTTTGTAGTTGCATTGTAAACTTTTCCCCTTCTTCTGGCATGGCGCCGTTAGCTGGCTAACCGGTCATCGAACCCAGTGGGACACGGGTTAATTTTTCCAACTTTAGACTTCACTCAGTGTGGGGCACAGCTAAACGCTATCTCCGTATGCCCGGCTTCCCGCCGCTCTAGCCAAGCAGAAGTTCACAGAAGTTGCTGATCAGGTCTGACAGCAGGGCCCACATTCCTGTTCTGAAACGTGATTCTCAGTACTCGGCAGATAATCCTCCATAGCTTGGAAAAATTTCGCCACTCCTGGCCTTGGAAAACACAGCCACATACCTGCTTGTTGATTTTCTAAGAATAGGCCTAAACTACTCTGGCATAAACCCTTTCAGAACCGAGAAACTGTTAATGCCACTAGGTTCGACAGGCTGAAATGATGACTAAAACGATGTTGCCTCAAATGACAGTTATGATCACTTGTTTAAGACATTACATAAAAGTCCTCATCATATTTGTCTTTTTTCAGAGCATTTTTTGGTTGCGGTGCCGGTGGCTGTGGTTGCAGCTGTCGGAGGCTTCCTCGTCAGCCAGTACCTGAACAGGCGGAGCTGCAAAAAGGGCCAAGTGAACACCTGCATCAACAAAGACAGCCCCAAAGTGGTCCACAGCTTTGACATGGAGGACATCGCCACCAAGGCCGTGTACTGCCGCTGCTGGAAGTCAAAGAAGGTTGGTCCCCAGGCAGCGATAAATGTCCTTTAGCTTAAACTTCAAGTAACAGTCATTGAGCTTTCTAAGCTTGCAGGTAATCTTATCAGAGGTCCAAAACTGCTTAGCTTTCTGCAGTAACAGGTCACGGTTTGACACATATTGTGCTGATCACATCCCAGTCGGTAATGGGATGTGACCATCTTTAACATCCCTGACCTGCGCTGAAAGTTACCCTCTGACAGCCCTACATGCTTAGTCGGTTTCAAACTGCTGTTAGCATGAACTCATATGTGGCTAACAGACTCTCTTCATATGACTGATAAGAGTGAATTCTGTTGTTGTTGTTTCTCCTCTTCCCTGCAGTTCCCTTACTGCGATGGTTCCCACACTAAACACAACGAGGAAACCGGGGACAACGTTGGACCACTCATCATCAAAAAGAAGGACGCGTAATCTGAGCCACCGGAGAACTCGGCCCTCCCTGACTCCTCGCGCGCCCGGCCCGATCATCTGTCATTCTCATTGCCGTGTCACACTGATTGATGATTACAGTATGACACTGATATGTTCAGTCCAAACTCTGAGCGTTGTCCTTTGCCCATAACAGAAAAACATAGTTTTAATATCAAACCGGCCACACTGGTCTGACACTGCTTAGTGTGACTTTGAAATCAAAGGTCATTTGAGGACAGATAACAGTTAGATATGGTGGCACTATGACTGCAGCTCGCAGTATGACCTACTTAATGTGCCGTTTGTTTAAAGTTCTCACTGGGCCTGATAAAGGTGAAATATTTCCCCGTGCGGGCATTGTGCCTTCATGTTTGGTGTCCTTTCAGCCACCTCCTCCGGCTGTGGGGCAGGTGGCTGAAAGATGAGACCTTCAGTCAGTCCAGCGTCTCGGTGAACTGAAGCGTAGGCCTTAAATTTAAATCTAAACCAGAATCCAAACGCTCACACAACCCTATATGAATGTTAACACACATTGTTCTGTTTGTTTTGCTGCTTTAGTCAGAGGAGGTAGAAGTTTAGTTTGTTGTTAATGAACTGTTGAAACTGTCTCCTTGTAACCAGTTCCTGTGGCTTTCTGGGAAAACTTGTGTTGAATCTGTGAAGTGTTCAGCAGCTCGTGCCCATTAAGAATATATTCTGCTGTTTCAGCAGGTTGATTTTTCTACTGGCTGCGGGGGTGTCTGGTTTGATTCATTGTTCTGTACATTGTGAATAAAACTTGAGTGACCCAATTTGAAAGCTTCATTTATTCATTTCAGGACACACTCCCACTGCATTCGTTCGCCTTTTTCCACCACAGGATCGGAACGCGTGTCACAATGCCGTGCTGATGGATTAACGCAGGACTGGGGTAATGAGTAAACAGCTCTGTGTGTGTGACTGCGGTGGGATCGGGGCTGTGATTTGTGTGGGAGAGACGGAAGTGAGGGGGGCTCCCGTGCTGCAGTGTCCACCGACACCAGTGGCCATTTTAAGACGGAGCAGTATTTGCGGTGACCGCTAGAAGACGCTGTGTTTACACGGATCGCCCAGGCCAGACAGACAGCAGTGTACGCGAACACGGTGGGCCCCTGCTCCCATAGTGACACGTGCGCGCGCTCGCACACACACATAGACACGCACGCACGAGGTATCTGGCTGCGTGCCAGATGCAACGGAGGACTCTCAGAAGAGGTGGAGTGGACTCCGCCGTCCCCGCGTGAGGAGTCACCTTTAACAGACAGCGAGCTCACGTGCTTCAAAGCAGACGGACATTAGCATAAAGGCTATTTATGTTAAACAGGCTAATTTAGCTCACAGGGCTCTTCCTGTTTTCCGAGTGACCTGTAAAAATATAATTTTATTTTGTAGCTGTTTGTTTTGATATTTATTTACATCCACCGTGTGTGACACCACAACCCAAAACAGTGTGCTTTTATGTATGAAAGGTCACGGCGCTGGCTTCCGGTGTGGATAAAACACCAGTTCAGACGGTAAAAAAAATAAACAGTAAATCTGTATATAAAACCATTTTAAGGGGAAGAGTTGTTTTGTTTGGATTTTTTATGTCTTGTTTTTTTAAATAAGAGCATTTTTTTTATGTTGGACTGCACAAACAGTAAACGCTTAAGAGTTTTTAGCTACTTTACTGAACATTTAATATAGCAAAGTTTGATTGAATACATTTAAAGATTTATAAAAGGACAAACAGGAATAATTAATAAACTGGGCTTTTGACTAGTTTCCTATATATATATATATATATATATATATATATATATATATATCTAACAAGAATTTCTAGTAGAGAAAATATAACGAGTGTAAATTATAAGTGTGCCCGGTGTTTACATAATTTTTACATGTGTCTCAGTTGTGCTGTTGACTGCGTGTGACCGGTGGCCTTGATTCGCCTTAGTATTCCCGCTGCCAGCTAACGGTGTGTGCTGATCTGCTTCTGTGGACGTTTCACGGGGTCGCTCTGACCAGAGCCTCGACTGCAGAGTCCACTTCGCATTTTGAGCGACGCCCCCAAATTCCGTGCAGAGTGTTTGCAGACCCTCCGGGACGGAGAGGTGGAGGAGGAATCGGCAGCTCCGCCGTCCATATACGCTACAATCACCACGCCATTAGTTCATGACTTCATCATATCTTTGACAGGAGAGCTCGTGTCGTGTTTGTAAGGTAAGCGGGGAGCTTTTCTCGACACTTCCTGTTGATTTTCGCCGTGTTGTATTGTCGCCTTTTTTCTTGCGCGCAGCGCCGTGTCGCAGCGACCACTCGGACTGTGGTCAGCTCGCCGTGGCGTCGGTCGAGCACCGTCTTCTTAGGTAACCTTAATAACGGCCAAATGATCGATCTGGTTTCCCGATCGATCCGCCAAAAGGGGCGATTGACCGGTCTTGTAATAACACCCATCTCCCGTGTTTAATCAGCGGAGTAGTTTTTCTACAAATGTGGACACGGAACATAGCCTGGTCTTTTTTTATCCACAGCAACCGCATCGTTGCGCACCTCGCTCCTCGTCGTCGATAGCAGACAAAAGACAGCCTGTTTTTTTCCCCCGGCGTCCCTTATTTAGTCTTTCTCTGCTGAGCTTAAGCTTTGGCTGGCACACATAACAGCAGTCGTCAAAATGTATTTGAAAAGCGCGCTCCACATTTGACCT